GAGGCCTCAGATCACTATCTTCTTTCAGGCTCAGGCCCCTTCTGCACTCCCATATAATCCAGATTATCCAAGCAGGTAATCCACATTATCTGAACTGGATTATATAAGTGTACACTGCGATATAATCCAGATTATCAAAGCAGGGAATCCACATTATAGATAATCCAGATATTATATGTTAGTGTAGAAGAGGCCTTAGAAGCCCAAATAATAAAGATGGAAAGATGACAGATGGTCCTCTGTATCTACAGTTCCTGCTTCCCACAGATTCAACCATCCAGGGCTTGAAATATCCCCCCCCCCCCTAAAATCTGAAAATCTTTTGCCATTTTTTATATGAGATGATATTTGACTATGCCACTGTATGAGGGTTGAATGAAAAGTAATGCCTCCTCAACACATTGCAGTACTGGCGATTTTAATCTGGCAAATTAGTTCTAATGTATATATATATTTTAACTATTTTAATGTAAATGGATGTACGAGGGTTAAATGAAAAGTAATGCCTCCACCTTCATAACTTCTCAACAGATGGCAGTACTGGTATGTGGCAGGTACTGGCTTGTTCAGTAGACTCTCCTCCACAGTTCCATTTTGGAGGGAAGCCTTAGCATTGAAGGGTTGTGTTGTTAAAGTGCAAAGTATGGAACCCTGCACAGACAGTCGGTCAATGCAACTTAAGCAACGTGTAGTCACTGAATTCTTAACAGCAGAAGGTGAGGGACATGAGAGAAGCCTCCCACAAGGATGATAAAAACATCAAATCATCTGGGCGTCCCCTGGGCAACGTCCTTGCAGACGGCCAATTCTCTCACAACAGGAGCGACTCCTGACACGACAAAAAAAAAAAGCAGAAGGTGTCACGCCAAAGGAGATTCATCAGAGAATGCCAGCTGTTTATGGTGATTGTGTTGATGTGAGTACTGTGAGTCATTGGGCGAGTAAGTTTAAAGATGTTGAGGTGGGAACATCTGACTTGCGTGACAAACAAAGACTTGGATGTCCTGTGACAGCAACCACTGAGTTTCACAAGCGAAAGGTTGACAGATTGATTCAGGACGATCGTTGTATCACTCGGAGAGAAATTTCAAGCAGAATCGGCATTTCACAAGAACGTGCGGGTCACATTATTGCTTTACTTGGCTATCAGAAGATCTGCGCACGATGGGTACCCAGAATGCTGATGCCTGAAATGAAAGCGCACAGACTTGAAACTTCAGAGACTGGATCTCACCACCGTACGGCATCCTCCATACAGTCCAGATTACTTTTCATCTGACTTCCCGATAATGAAAGAAGATCTGCGGGGACATCATTATGCTTCGGATGAAGACGTTGAGAGAACTGTGAGATGCTGGTTGCGGAAACAGAGTGACAGCTTTAGAAAACTTGTTCATCATTGGCAGAAATGTATCCAATTGTCTGGTGATTATGTGGAAAAGTGAATAGTGGTAGTTAAGGAGCACATTCTGAGGATTATTTCAGTGTTTGATTTATTAAAATATTCCCATCCAAACCCAAGTAACGAAGGTGGAGGCATTACTTTTCATTCAACCCTTGTGTGTGTGTGTGTGTGTGTGTATAATGAGAGTTGAGAATTCATATTGGATTATTTCTGTGCTTGATTTATTAAAATATTCCCATCCAAACCCAAGTAACGAAGGTGAAGGCATTACTTTTCATTCAACCCTCGTGTGTGTGTGTGTGTGTGTGTTGTGTGTGTGTGTGTGTGTGTGTGTGTGTGTGTGTGTGTGTATATATATATATATATATATATATATATATATATATAATGGGAGTTGAGAATTCATATTGGATTATTTCTGTGTTTGATTTATTAAAATATTCCCATCCAAACCCAAGTAACGAAGGTGGAGGCATTATTTTTCATTCAACCCTCGTGTGTGTGTGTGTGTGTGTGTGTGTAAAGTTTTGTTCTTTGCACGGAGTGGAATTAATGGAGGTTGCGACACAGAAATTCAGTTTTGCTAGCAAGGTAAAGGTAAAGGTAGTCCCCTGACATTAAGTCCAGTCATGTCTGACTCTGGGGTGTGGTGCTCATCTCCATTTCTAAGCCGAAGAGCCAGCGTTGTCCGTAGACACCTCCAAGGTCATGTGGCCGGCATGACTGCATGGAGCGCCGTTACCTTCCCGCCGGAGCGGTACCTATTGATCTACTCACATTTGCATGTTTTCGAACTGCTAGGTTGGCAGAAGCTAGGGCTGACAGCGGAAGCTCACGCCGCTCCCAGAATCGAACCTGCGACCTTTCGATCAACAAGCTCAGCAGCTCAGTGCTTTAACCCACTGTGCCAACGGGGATTTACCCTGACTATTTTCTGCATGAAAAAATGTGATTTTCTGCACAAAAATGTGCCAGTTGGGCGCAGAATCGGATCCCAAACTTTGAAAACCGCACAGTTGCCAAAGACTTTCTCGCCACAGGTAGAAAGCTGCCCAAATTGCTCCTTTCTGAGAGCGAAATTAGCCCAGAATGATCCCTTCCTCGGAGAGTTTCACGCATTCGCCACGCAGGACCATGATTTAATTTTATCCCCGGCCGCATTATGGTGTTGCGTATGTGATATTTTTTAAGCCTTTCATTTTGTTTCAGATTTCAAGTAATGGGCCTTTGTAATCTCGCCCCCCTTTTATCTCCCCTGCCTTTTTCTCCCCCTTCCTATTCAAGGCAACATGTCCCCCCTTTCGAAAGCCATCCAGAGCTGCCTAGAGCTGGGATACTTTATCATAAATTACCAGCGTTGCTAGTCCATAAAATCAACAGGACCCGGAGTGTTTATGTTGGTGTGTTAAAGCAGCCCTTCCATTATAGGCCAGAAAACATGCCAGGAATGCCGCCTTTGAAATGCCCCACCACGTAAAATATATTTACGGCATGGCAGCTGTGAATTTAAAGGTGCAGCGCTCACATTTATGACCTCTCGTTACATACAATTTTCAGTTAAAAGAAATCTTTTCTCTGCTTCCCCGCCGCTGCCGCCTCCTCTTTTGGCTTGATCCAATAATTCATTCCTGGGCTGAAAAAGAGAAGGGGGTTCAAGGCATCTCTACGCCTCCTTCTTCTGCCATACACTTTGCTTTGTTCCCACTCCTGATCGAGTCAATGTAAAAAGGTAGAATGGCCTAAATACCACAAAAGCAACAGAGCCCATCTGCTAAGCTGGGTCACCCCTGGTTGGTACTTGGATGGGAGACCAACAAAGGATACAGGTTGAGCATCTCTTAGGCTGGATCTCTGTCATATAATGCAGAATGGGGGACAATGCCTGGCTCGAGAGCAGTACGTGTGAAAAAGATCTTGGAGTCCTTGTGGACAACAAGTTAAACATGAGCCAACAATGTGATGTGGTGGCAAAAAAAGCCAATGGGATTTGGCCTGCATCAATAGGAGCATAGTGTCTAGATCAGTGGTTCTCAACCTGGGGTCCCCAGGTGTTTTGGCCTACAACTCCCAGAAATCCCAGCCAGTTTACCAGCTGTTAGGATTTCTGGGAGTTGAAGGCCAAAAAAATCTGGGGACCCCAGGTTGAGAACCACGTCTAGATCTAGGAAGTAATGCTACCCCTCTATTCTGCTTTGGTTAGACCACACCTGGAATATTGTGTCCAATTCTGAGCACCACAGTTCAAGAGAGATATTGACAAGCTGGAATGTGTCCAGAGGAGGGCGACTAAAATGATCAAGGGTCTGGAGAACAAGCCCTATGAGGAGCGGCTGAAGGAGCTGGGCATGTTTAGCCTGAAGAAGAGAAGGCTGAGAGGAGATATGATAGCCATGTATAAATATGTGAGAGGAAGCCACAGGGAGGAGGGAGCAAGCTTGTTTTCTGCTTCCCTGGAGACTAGGACGCGGAACAATGGCTTCAAACTACAAGAGAGGAGATTCCATCTGAACATGAGGAAGAACTTCCTGACTGTGAGAGCCATTCAGCAGTGGAACTCTCTGCCCCGAGTGTGGTGGAGGCTCCTTCTTTGGAAGCTTTTAAACAGAGGCTGGATGGCCATCTGTCGGGGGTGATTTGAATGCAATATTCCTGCTTCTTGGCAGGGGGTTGGACTGGATGGCCCATGAGGTCTCTTCCAACTCTATGATTTTATGATTCGGTAGATCTTAGAAAACTATTTCTTGATTTAAGTCGTTGACATGCTGGCTGATATGCAAATAAGGGATGAGTTGGAGATGTCTCTGCCTTGGTCCTTTCTCTCTTGGCTGCTACTTCCCAGCAGATGTCAGGTGGTGCAATGCCGGCTAAGCAGTGTAATTTCTCCAGTGGTGTAGGGCACAGACACCCTGTGATAATGCGGCATGTTTCATTGAGAGCCACATCTACTGTTTTAGCGTGGTGAGATGTGTTCCACACTGGGCATGCATACTCAGCAGCAGAGTAGCATAGCACAAGGGCAGATGTCTTCACTGTGTCTGGTTGTGATCCCCAGGTTGTGCCAGTCAGCTTTCGTATGATATTATTTCTAGCACCCACTTTTTGCTTGATATTCAGGCAATGCTTCTTGTAGGTCAGAGCACGGTCCAGAGGATTGCAGGATTGCAAGACATCCGGGCGTCCCCTAGGCATCGTCTTCGTAGACGGCTGATTCCCTCACTCCAGAAGCAACTTGCAGCATGCTTAATATGGTCAGTGTAGACTAGGCTTGGGACAAACTCTGACGCAATCAACCCCCCCCCCCCAACACCACCAGTATTCAATTTTGGGCGTATCGGGTATTTGTGCCAAATTTGGTCCAGTGAATGAAAATACATCTGATATTTACATTACAATT